ACACACACAGACACAGACACACATTTTCTGACAGCCACATTCTTGCATCACACAGCTGAGTGGAACGATGAGCTGTATCCTACTCCTGGGGCAGAAGGTGAAAACACACTTACACATAAATACACACACACACACAGTTGAGTACATATAGCACACATTCAGAAACATTTGTCACAACTGGCTGACTTGCAGCATATGGATATTCCCTGTTCACTTGCAGTCAGGGAACTTGATCCAAAACTACTGGACCTGACAGGAAAGCTCATCTTGGCTTTGAGTGCACTAAGACTGGATCCAGAGTCCTACTAACAAATAAAGAAACAAAACCCACACAGGAAAACTTGCTGGTGCTTTCCTCCTGAATTCATTTCACAGTAGAATACATCTGGTATATGCTATCACAACATATGCCTGCCTCTCTTTCCCTTATGCCACAGTGACACGGCAATCTGTCTGCAGCTGCTGACCTCTGAGGTTTCCCCACTCAGCCCTGACCTGGCAGTGACTCACCGATCTCGCAGCTCTCTCCAGAGAAGCCCTGAGGACAGTAGCAGCTATAGCCGTCACCTTCCTGCAAGCAGCTCCCTCCGTGGAGACAGGGGTTGGTCTGGCATGGGTTATTCTCCACTGTAAAGACAGATAGATTGGGAGTGGGAGAGGGGAGGGTGTTACATATGAATTCATAATTTATGTTACAGAGAAAAAGCATTATGAAAGTGCTTTGAATGTTGACAAACTACGGCGGCAGTGACCCAGCATTATGCCCCCCTCATTATCCTTCCTGAGCCCATCCTCTCACTGCTCTGACAGAGATAGAGGAAGAGTATAGTGGGCAGACAGTACGCAGACCCTTCCCTGTCTCTATGACTTTCTGCAAGGTGACGGATTGGCTGTTGTTGCGTCTGTCGTGCCCCTGTTTATCATGACTGATGCTACCCAGGCGAAGGACAATGCGCTGAGTCGACCCCCTCTTGCCGTTCTCCTGCCTCCCATCCCAGGTCCTACTGATGAGCCAAGGTCCTCATAAATTAGCTGATCATCACCCAGTCATGCATACCGGCGCGGGGCACCTATTTTTATGGGATATTACAGAGTTGCAGAGAAAGTAATAAACATATTTTACATCGCTGGGCTATAACTCCATACCCCTTCGTGGGAAATGTTTTGGCGGATGAATGGTGGAGACTGAAGAGATTAAGTCGTAATTATTACTCTTATATTTTAGGATGGGACGGAAGGAGGAGGAGAATTTGACAAGGACGGTTAGAGCACAGAGCAAGCGTTATATTTTTATTCTGTGTGCAAAGAAGGACTGGCTAGATTAACTGTCTTTTTATTATCCAATCCTGATAGGATTGCAGACCCTGACACAATCTGTCAGGCCATCTAATACACTGCATCTTCTCCATAATAACACCCAGCCTCACTTAATGATGTATGAGCAGAGAGATGCTGTGCAGAACTTAGAGTGCAGTTCCCCTGAAAGTCTGGGAATTCTGTCATTTGTGTGTGTATGTGTGCATGTGAAAGAGAGGGTGTGTTTATGCATATGTGTACGTGTGTGTATTTCTAGATGTTCGCCTGACCCTGACTCATTGCAGACTGGTGATATATACAGTAACGTGAGTGTGTGTTCAATTTCCTGTGAAACAGGGAGATAGAGTCCCCCTGCTGCAGAGAGGCTGCTGTTGATACACTGGGCAAGGAACATGATGGAAAGGCTGCCTTTGAAAATGCATAAAAGTGATTCGCTGAATGAGAAAAACCATTAGAGACAGGCTCATTTCTTAAATCAACAGCGGGGAGGAAAAAAACAACATCGTACGTGCCTTGAAAACATACATTGCTTAAAGGTTAACGATGTACTGATGGAGATGGTAAAATCTGAAAGTGTTGAGCAGTGCATGACACATAAAATAAGATAAAAAAACACACAGGATATGGTCAATGTGAGTGCCTGGTTGGATCTAAAAAAGTCAGGTAATGGAGAAGAGAAAATGGAGGAAAGAGGTGATGGGAAAGAGCTGTTTGAGTCATTTTCCATCCATCCATCCACAGGACCAGTTTAATGTAATCATGAGCCATCGGTGAAGTGTATGGAACTATACTTTGCTGGTCAGTTAAACTAAAAGTGCATTCATTATTACATTATTTAACAGTGTAATTCGGTGTGATATAGCTTTACTGTAGCTTGTAGCTTGCTGAAATTAGCAAGTAACAAATCTTAACTGTGTTACCTTATCTACATGGAGTGAGTGAGGAGTAGCTTGTAGCCACAGTCTGATGGTAGCTTCCCCAACCACTGTAACAGTTATGATTAATCATGATGTTATTCAGTTTCCAACAACATAGAAAATACCACATGTGATGTGACTTGTTAATGAGTGTTGTTAAATGAATGGTCAAATGATTTGTTTGCTGTTGCCACATTTCCCATCACATTGCAACATAAGTATGTTCTCCATTCCACCATCGCATCAAGCAAGAGTGGATGAAAGCATGTCACCAACAGTAAGTTCAGTGTGTGGGAAAATGGAGATTATCAGTAAGTACCTCAATCTACTTCCATAGCTGGTGTCCACGGCAACTCTGCAGGTAAATTAGGTGATGTGATGTGAAAAGTTATTTGGACTAGGCACATTTTGTGTGAAATCCAAAATGTCAAAATGATACATTGTTGGAAAAAATGCTTCTCAAAGCAGCTTGTGCATCACTTTTATACAAAAATGCTTACAGGACCTTCACTTTCAAGTGGTCAGTTTCTCTAATCCACTGTGAAATTTAATGTCTTTGTTGAAAGATCAAGGTGACATTTTATGGAGTTGAAATAGTGTGTGTGTGTGTTTCTGCGTGCTACCTGAAATACTTGAAGTATAGGATACAGCATGTCATACTGCAAATTAGGCAGTAGCAGAATCAAGGTTAAAAAGGTAGCTCGCTTAGCTTAGGAAAGTAACATGACTGCTGTCTTTAAACAAAAATAAATTTAATTTTGATTTCGATATCGTATATATATACACATTATAGTTCATTGTAAGGGATTAAGTTAATTTCCTTAAACAAACTAGGTAAAATGGACAAGAAACCTTAAGGAATACCTTATTACACCCATTTTTTCTAGGTTTTATGTAGGTGTTATGACAATATTTTTTCAGGTAAGATAATCAGCCATGTAATTTTCCTTCTGTGACATGTGAAAATATCTGTAGGAGAGGTCTATAAAGCAATAAATATATAATTGAACATGACTAAGAGTCTACAGCCATGCAGTTCTGTGAGGCACATTTTACTTTGGTCATACTCACAATGACAATGTTAGTATGCAGACTGAAATGCTAACAGAGAGTACAGCTGGGGCTGATGGGAATGTCATTAGCTAGTATTTAGTCATTGGTATTTGACAAATTGACCTGACCCAAAATAAACATCAAAGGTCAGTCTGGTCACATCAAAAACAAAAATCCGATATGCTGAGGTAAAGATCAAACTGCCTGAGGCAAGAGTTCAGTGACAAAATACCATTTTATATCTTACGTTTAAGCTGGTGACATCTTAAAATATACCTGCGTGTTCTACAAACCCCTCCTTATGCATTAATCTGTCCCACTAGTACTGCCAAAGATAAGTCTGACATGTAAGTATCTCTGCATGCAGTTTTGGTATTAAATCTGAGCTACACAAATACCTCTCCACTTTGAATCACAGCCCAGGCGGACATGTATCTTCTGCTATGCAAAAAGCAGTGATGCACACAGTGTAACTGACAGCTAAGGACCGGGTCATCAAGTAACCCCAGTGAGGAAGGCTCAGTAGCCAAAAGCTGTACTTCTCACGGCCATTCTCCCAGTCAATCACACCACACAAGGTAATGCTGTACAGTAGTTCTGGCTTGTGTTTTTATCTGCATTAATACTGCACAGGGTTTTTCTTTGCCATCATAAAAAATGAGAGTGACATATCTTAAAAAGTAATTCATAAGCTCCTTAGGATTTAAGTGGATGAAGTCACCAACTGATAGGAAAAAATGGAGCAAAGCTGAGTGCATGATTTTTCGTGCGTGTGGGTACGCATGTGTTAGATGCCTTAGAAACCCTAAAAATTTATTCCTATAGGTCCATTGTACTCCACAAAAGTTCACCAGTTCCAGCAAAACTGCCTTAATGATGAGATTTAAAGGACTTTTCTTCAGCTACCATATACCAGCACTGATAAATGGTGGCAGTGCTGAGCGGTAGCAGAATAGGACATTGATCCAATCTGCAGACAATTAGTAACGACTTATTACACACAAATGAGACTGCGTTCTTCACCATCTGTCCACAAACAGTAGTCTTAGCTGTGACATCACATGTACACTGCACAGAAATGAGACAGCACTTATGGATTGTGCGACTGCAGCAACATCTCAGCCCAAAGAAATCTTCTGCACGAATGGATGAACACGCATGGAATCAGCCATGTAACAGGTAACTTAAAATGCGATGTGACTGGTTCAGCGTTTAAACATTCATTTCTTCAGATGACATTTTGCAGTTTTCATAATTACAGTAGGAAATGTGCGTGTGTGTGTGTGTGTGCATGTGAAACTAAAGATGAATATGCAAGAGGAAAACATTAAAGAGCGAGAGAGACAAACATGAAGGAGAGAGAGACCCTGGTCCATAGGAAAGAGGGAAGGAGAAGATACAAATTAAAATTTAGCATAGAGAAGCAGCACTGTGAGTGAGAGAGATGGACTGAGAATGCGAGAGAGAGAGAGAGAAAATGTCAGCTAGGGAGGGACAGAAAGTCACAGAGGGAGCTATCATACATTTCCTCCTTCTTAATGCTTGCTGCTAGCTTATGATTAATTACACACTGGTCTTAAAATAGGTCGCCTCTTCCATTCCTACTGTGCATCTTTCTTTTTCTGTATGAAAGACAGAAAGAAAAAGAGGAGAAAGAGAGGAAGTCCGAGGGAGAGAGGAGGAAAGAGAAAGACGCTCCAGTTTATGAAAAAGACAGAGATGAAGGCAGATATAACAAAAGGGAGGCATATTAGGACTTACATGGCTTCAGCTTTCAGGTCTGAGCTTTGAAGTCACAGAATAGATAATGCAAAGTCTTCTTCGCTCACACTGAGCAGATAATGCAACATTTCTTCAGTCCTGAGCAGCGTTTCTTGAAATATGTTCCTCTGTGTGACATTTCACTGCTCTATGGGGTCATCTTAAGTTTTTTCTAAGCCTCTCAGGAGAGAGATTATCTTAGCGTTGTGGCATATTTGGGAAGCTACTCCCCGATGTCAACTCATACATACACCCAAGATTTAGAATGGACCATAAAAGAGGATTGCGATACAGGAAATGTCTCGCATCCCATGAAGTCTGAAGCTGAGCGGTTAGCAAATGCAACATAATGGAGGCTTGCAGAAAAGCTTGTGCTGACAGAAACACTGAACTCTGCACGAATAAACGTGTGAAACACACACAGAGCAAAACTGCACACACACGCACTTACATTTACTGTATGTACACCTGCTTATCACCCGCCGCGTTGCTGTGCTTGGACTCGCTGAACCTTGTAATAGCTTTGCTGAGACAGAGATCATGCCTCTGCCTGTTCAAGTGTTCCCCATCTATGAGCGT